TGGCAACATGTTGCTTACAAGATCAAAGTAGCCACAGATGTTGCAAGCAACATGTTGCCTAGTGTATGCCTGGCTTAATGAATCCTCAGGCTCTGATGAATCTGAATCTGAGTCACTGGTTGTTAGGTCTTTTACTCTTACTAGCAGAAAAATTTAAGATACTCTGCCTCTTCATTTTATGTGGGTGTGGTGAAAAGATCATGGAATTGTGGGGGACCACAGCCCCCCATAAATCCGCCCCTGTAGCTGCAGATACTTGAATATTGAAGTTTATTACACGATCTAATCAGCACTACATTGATGACTCCTATTTTGACTACACCTTCAGCCTAAGCACAACAGTGTCTGTGACGATGGTGTGATGTGAAATGAGTTTTTTGACTTACATGTTAAAGCCCAAATGTAAAATGTCTTTTAAAAATAATAATACACATTTAACAATACACTTTCTGTTTAGACAATAATACACTATAGTTGGTAAAAGAAAGCCTGGTACAAGTAGTTACCTGTAACAAATCACTCAAATAAATGTAAATACATGATAGATGATTTTAGAGTAACTGATTCAATGTCTGGGAATCGTACTCACATCAAAAGAGAAGTAGAAATCATTTGAAACAATTCCAAATTACCAACCACATTTGTAAATATTATGGTAGTTAAAAATCAGTAGTTAACTACACTAATCATTTATTGTTATTGCATTTTTAGTGCTGTAATAGATAACACATGGTTTTGTGCATGCGCAGAAGTAGTATATACTCAAAATCAGTATTCAATTCCATTGATTCCAGTCCCAAAAGTATTTGGAATCGGAATCAATTGCAAATTTCTGGATTCGCCCCATCTCTACCAAAAGTGGGTGTGGATATCAAGGGTCTTTTCTCTACAGTCTCCAGGAGCATTAATTAGAAAACTCCTAACTTAGGCAATTTTTTTCCTCAAAAATCCCTAGATTTCAAATTTTGACAAAAATCCCTAGATTTTTACCAAAATCCCCATATTTTTCATTAAAATCCTCAAAATTTTATTAATCATGTCAAAAATTTGTAGATTTAACCACTCCTAGTCTCCTTACTCTCCTATACGAATTAACTCCTTACAGGCCTGCAGAAGAATACTGGCCCCACATACCAAGCCATAGGGGCCCCTCCTCACACTTACCTTGATGCAGACCCTTGAGCTCACCCCACCCCTAACAGACAAGCTGCCTTCTAGGAAGCCTGTCTTGTAATTGCAGGGCCTGGCTCTCAATCTTTTCCCCTGAAATTACATCCTCCCCATCAGCCGATTATAACAACCTAATGGTACCCCTCATTACAGTGGAGGCTTATAGTTTAGGATTATATACATGCTAAGCACCAAACTTCATAAACTGGTTATAACAACCCTAAACTGATCACTCCCTCCACTAACATGAAGAAGGGTAAATGCATGCTAAGATAATGGAAAATTGGCTGGGAGGCCTCACCAAGGGTTAGGACTTACGGCCACGCCCCAAAATCTCCCATGGTTTGTGTGGGTTAAGAGTGTTGGTGTGAGTGTAATGAGTCAATTGGCAGGCATGAAAACATTAGTTGCACATAATGAACAAAATAAACATGATCAATAAAAAGAAAACTATCGAACACCCGTTTAACACAAAATACATTAATGAGTCCCTAGGTGTTGGCGACTTGACACCATTTTCGGAGCCAGTACTACAAGGGTCTCTGGTGACGTCCGGATGTATGCCAGGTATGCGTCTGAGTTCCATCGCCCCATTGCTTTTAGTAGATGGACCGGAACCCCCCGCCTCTGCGGCCACTGTGGCTGCTCCTATCTGGAAACTGTGGCCAGAGTACTAGGCCTGCTCCACCCCCCTGTGGTGCAGCGCCTTCCTTACCAGTTGAATGAAAGTTGATTTAAGCAGGGGAGAGCCATCTAAACTCACAAAAACAGGCCCCTGCCCAGCTGGGCGTACCACCATGTAGTTCTGGAGGGCCACTACTGGACAAATATCGGTTGAAGTAGCACCGATGTGAATCTTCGTACCCTTGCCCTTTTGGTCTGTTTTTGAGAAACGTAAGCCAATCACCATCCATGATCGGACCCACGCCTTATGGAAAACAACGTCTGAGTCACTCACCGCTGGCACTTCTGTTCCTTTTGATAGAAGGAGCTCCCCCAATCTGAAACAACCAAAGAATGTAGTACATGCTACTGCTCACAGCAGACGTGCGGTAAACTGGTCCTCCAGCCCAGACTCCCATGCTGCTTTCAGATTTCTCATGATATCCAATGTGACTGGGAGCCTCCGTCTGGATGGGGTATCTCTGTTCTCCCTCTCCACCCCTTTAACGACATAACCTAACTGGGGCCATGACCTTCGAGATGCTACCCCCAGCCCAGCCTCTATACTCAAATGCCGGAGGGCTGACAGATACACAGACATTGAAGCTGGGTGGAGACCTTCTTGATATAAATGGGTTACAAAACAGCAAGCTGTTTGCTCTGTTATAGGGAGAGGATTAATGCCTGCTTTGAAGCAGAACTGCACGTACTGACGCTTTGCAGAAACATATTTACTCTTTGTTCGTCCCAAAAGTCCTGAAACAAAAAGGCGTCTAGCCTCTGCATCCAAACTTCTGACATCCAGGCTGCCTCCCGGTCCCACAACAGCTCGAGTAGCTGAATTGGCACTGTGCAAGGGCCCGACTGGCCTGTGGCAAGAGAGAGAAAAATAATGTCATGTTACCATGAGACAGAGCATCAGCTGCCCCATTGGCATGACCGGCTATGTGCACTGCCACCAACTGAATTTTTTGCAATGCGGAGAGTAGTGACAAAAGTTTCAACAAGTGGGCTAGCAGGGGGTTCTTTGCTGAACCCAATCGCAGAAATGAGACGACTGCTTCATTGTCACATCAAATTAAAACCCTGGAACCAGCCCACTCCCATCCCCATAAGGCCACACTGACAACAATGGGAAGCAGCTCCTTCGCCGCAATAGTAATTGACTGCCATGACTCTGGCCATTGCAACTGGAACTTCTGGCCCACGGGTAGATGAACAGCGCCACAGCCCCAGCCATCAGAGTACACTATTGCGGCCCATGGGTAGAATGACCAACCGTTCCAAAACCACAAAAATTCCTGCCACCAACTGACGTCAGACCTACATTCCACATTCAGACGCCCCCAATGGTCGGGCTCCTGTGGAATCTTCGAGGCCTCAATGAGCGACCATGTGAACAGCCTTCCGGGATGGACAATGTGGGCCGCATAGTTCAATAGACCCACCAAAGACTGGAGCTGTCTCTTTGTTACTGACCGTTTCTCGTGGCACTTCCACTCCTGGAGGATACTCATCAGATGGGAGTGTTTGTCCTCAGGGAGACGCAGCTCTCACCGGTCCAAATCGATTTCAATTCCCAGGAATGTAATATTTGTGCAAGGGCTGGCAGAGCCCCACAGCGGTCCTCAGTGCCCGTTCGCATTCATTGGACTCGGCTCTGGAGCAGAAGAAAAAATCATCAAGGTAATGGATTAAGTTGTGGACCCCACAGCACTCCATTGCCCATGACAGGCCATCGGCCACAGCCGTGAACAATAGGGGCGCCGACCGTAGACCAAAAGGTACCTGATCACAGAATGTGATGCCCCTCCAATGGATACCAAGCAGTGGTTGGTCTGCTGGGTGAATAGGTACTTTCCTGTATGCTGACTGGATGTCGAGTTTTGCCATCCATGCACTCTGACCGGCCTCGATTACCATTGCCACTGCCTCGTCAACCGATGTGTATGATAGCGTGGCAAGGGCTGGAGAGATGCCATCGTTTACGCTGCTGCCTTCTGGTACAGACAAATCCACAATCAAGCGGTACTTTCCTGGCTGGGTTGTTTTCAGTATTATAGCAATTGGGCTGACATGCACCGCTTCACTGGGGGCTGCTAAGCGTAGCTTTCCCCCTCCGAATTCCTCCAGAATGTAGGCTGACACAATGGCCTCATTTTTTGGGCAGAAGGATGTTTAGAGTCCTCAGCTTGAAACTGGTGATTTCTGTCAATGCCGATCTGAAAACCACTGCCTATCCCACGAGCCAGAAAGGCTGCAAAGGATTGGTCAGGGAGAAACTGCAGAAACGGTAACCATTCGGTTAGTGGGAGGAAGCCCTCCACTCCCCCACCCATAGGAAATGGGGTGCCTTCCAGTGTGAGGAGTTGGTGGATATAAGGGTATGGCTTCTCCTCCATGCCTGGGTTCCTATTGGAGGGAACCAGCATTAACCATTGGACATCCCTAATTAGCCCCACCCCACTAATTCATCGTTAGCTGGCCCCGAGGCCTCTGCTCTTAGCACTACTACTTCAGATTATATTCATCTTTTATTAAATCAATTATATTCCATTCATTTTTTTTCTTTTTTGTTATTTATGCATTTATCTCATTTTCTGACCTAATCCAAAGTGTTACAAAAATGTTGCCCATGATCAATATGAATTATTGCTAGCAAGTATCAATTGTTTCTCCATGCTACATATTAATTCTTAGCTATTATCTGCACTCACATCAGCTATCACTGCTGGTATAATTTGTATGATTTGTTATTAATGAGCCCCAGTGGCAATGTAGTTGAATGGTGGCTACTTGCCAATGCTCCCAGATCATTCTGACTCCTTTCCCCTTTCATTATTTAACCACTGCATGACTATGAAAACCCTTACTACCTACCTGTGTGTCCCTAGATGTTGCAACTCCCATTCGCTGAACTGCCAGCCTCCATCTGCTGTTAGTGAAGCCCAAACTGCACTCCCCATAATAGGATCCACTCACTCAGCAGGTCATGTGTGACTTTAATTATTTATTTATTATTATTATTTTTTTGTGTTCATGGTACCAACTACTATGTCCCCATCAGCTCTTCTGTTCATTAGCTATTACCTTGCTGAGTCCCCCCCTAGCAAACCTACGGCTTACCCCGCTACTAACTTTCACCCTGCCTCCCCCCTTTGAATGAGTCTATGCATTTCATTTTATATTTTACTTTATTTATTTATTTTTAATTTTTAAATTCTTTAATTTTTATTTTTAATAAAATTTTACTATTTTCATTTTCCAAATTATTAAGCAATTGTTGATTAAGAATCAAAAACATAACTGTGGTGATGCTAGATGCTGTCATCACTGATCATCGGTTGTAAATCTAGAATTATAATTAGTGATACTGTCTGATCGCTGACATGAGATTGAGTGCTGAATGAAAACGGCCTACCCCATGGCAGGGGCCATTCTTAGATATAAATTGGGTATATAGTTGATGCATGGAATACATATTAAATGACTTTGAATACTGACTATGCCGTTACATGAGGTGATAACTATATGTAACCAAGTGGGGAGTTTGTGTATTAGGTTGATGGGGATGGGGTTGTCCACGGCTTCGTCTTCCCTTTGGGGCACTGCACAGCAGGGTGGCCTGCCTTGCCACATGAGGAGCAGCTATGGTTGTAGCGACATCGTTCGCTTGAATACAAATAGGTCCCAGAGTTGAACCGGCAACAATAGTCTGGCACCCTGGATGGATACGTCCTGGTCCTTAGTAGAGCTCTGAGAGAGCTGTCCAGGCTCACCAGGGCACACTCCTCTCGCTGATAGTCCCAGGAGAAGCACCGCAAACAGGTCTTTGCTGGGATTGATGCTGCCCCTCTCAGAACTGTTGCTGCCATTAGAGAGGGATTGACTTCTGCCCATTGCAAAGGCATACCCGCTGCCATCTGTTGGCAAAATCTCTTGTCATAGTTTACCCACCCCAGGCCCCCATGGCTCCGGGCCATCTGGATAATGACTTGCCCATAAGCCATGAGATCCCTTGTGTGTTTGTCCTTCACTGATACTGCCACAAAGGACAGGAAACAGTAGGCCCACGACAGCGGGTCGGAGATGTCCCTCATTTTTTGGACGGAAGAATTGGCTGACAATTCCAGCTCTTGCAGGGTGTTAAATAATGCCATGTTGTCGTGTAGCAACTCTCGGAAATCAATGAATACCCCTTTTTCGATCTTTTCCACTGCCCTTGCTGGAATAGGTGGCAGGGCTGAGGAGATAGCCAATGGTTGCTTTACGGAGGGGGGTGTGACTGAAGGCTCTGGCAGCTTTAGCCAGTCTGGCAATGACCACGGGATGCCTCTGCCTTCGGTAGTGGGAGTGGTCCTAGTTACTGCTGACCCACCGGTGACGGAGGGTGTGCTAACTAGTGGGGTTGACAAATTGATACTCCCTAAATAAGGAGACATTTAATAATTGCTGGGTGTTCTGTACCAAGTGCCACACCCCACATACAGTGGACGCTGGGGCCAAACCTGACCGCTGTCCTTGTTGACATTTGTGTGGTATCTCAAGATTCTGAGGCCCTGATGCCGCCATCTCAATGGATTAAGAAAGAAACTGATATTGCTGTGGTGTTCTGACTTGCTAGGCTACACCAGTAATGCTTACCTTCCATTCTCTCGTTCCCTGCTCCTGTACTCCCCCTACTCACCCCCTCATTGCTCACCTGACGTAACAGCTGGAACCGAAGAGTCCCCCCCGAGCCTACCGTCACCAGACCAGCATGCAAACCTCCAGCAGCTGGAGCTAGAGTGGTGCTGGGAATTGGTAAAGTCCCCCCAGGTGTGGTCATGGGACCTCCAAAGCCCTCCCTCACAGCACAAGAAATCATAGAGGCAATCAGCTCCATGGGCACTGCCGAGGACCCGCTGGTACTCGAGGCCCCTGATGGCCCGGGGGGAGTCCCCCCGCTGACCAGCGTCCCAGCTCTCAACCGAGTCCCATCTCCGGCACCAGTCCCATCTGTCTCCTCCGTGTCAGACATCCCGCGACTCAGAGACAACAAAGAAAAGAAAAGTAACACCAAATAAAAATTGTTTGACTCCCAAGTTCGAAGCAGACACTTCTACACGCTCTCTGATCGCTCAACTACTACGCATGCGCAGACCTGGTGGGCTTTAACCTCATTTAAAAGTAAACTCTAAATGTCAATTAATGGATTTATTAATCCAAACCACACCTCTTTTGTCAATATAATTAATTAACTTTGCTATAAATAATAATTATTATTAAATATAACTATTTTCCTATGAGTATTATTACTTTAAGGCAATAAAAAAAATCCCCAGATTCTGGGTATTTTAAAAAATCCTTCCCTAGTCCCCAGATGGTGCAAAAATTTCCCAAATCTAGGAGAAAATTAATCCCCGATTATGGAGTCACTGCTTCTCTAGTGCAGTTTACTGGCATACCAACTTAGTGGGTCAGGCCTGTGAGACTAATACCAATTATGCAACTATAGTTCTGAAAAGAGGGGGTAGTAGGCAGGAGTAGGTAGGTTATTTAGACAGTCAGCTGCAAGTCCAGCGGGTTACACAGATGTCATAAAAAGCTGTTGTGGGTTGCTACCACTTAATATAATTACTCATGAATAAAATGGAGGCTCAGTTACTCAATTTTGAACAAAGTATTTTTAGATGACATTGTGATAATTATAAAAAAAGGAGTATCCTCCTAAATTATAAATTAAAATTTCAAATCTGATACTGTGGAAAAGGAAGCTAAAATTATGAAAGACATAACTAATGAAATTTTGGAGAAAAAGCAAAATATCATAAATTTGCTTGCCCTATGCTACCCATGCACACATAAAATTGAATACCATTTTGGAAGTATAGAAAAAAGCTAATTCACACTGCAACGTTACTTCTTATGACTGAAGTTACATGTGCTTAAAAGTGTTAAAATTTTCATTTACTGATAAATTTCCAAGCACTTCAGTCGTAACGAGTGACAGTGTGACTTGGCTTTGAGGTTAGTAATCATTAGTAGATTGCTGTTGGACAGTGTCAAGAGGCTATCTTTAAAAATAGCCTTCAGCGTGAGAATGAATATACACTCTAACCTTGTATCATTAATACTGATGCACTGGACACAACCTCAAGAGGATCATAAGTAATAGCTCTACATGTCACCTTTGTATTATTATTATCATCATAAGCTATTGCTTTTAGCTTTGCACTTCTACTACCGCCATTATTAGTTGTCGTAACACGAAATCCTTTGGCTATAACAGCTTTATCAGTAGCTAATTTATTATTAACTCTGAAACTAAGCTTGTCACCAGTTCCTTCACAAGAGAAGACAACAGTAGAGTTGAGTGTTGTATTAATAGACAGAGGCTGTACTGTTATATCCGGATCTGTATATAAAATATATATATATATGTGTATATAGTACTAATATACATATGAAAGCTTATAAAGTAAGTACAGGATGATACTTACTCTCACGACTCAACTGAGCAAAGAAAAGCAAAACCAAGATCCCAATTACAAAGAACATAATTACGAGTTAACTCAGGTCAGTTAGGCTACGCGACTATGTTATTCATGCAAGACATGACCTAGCATCTACCACTGGTGCTATTAAAAGGTCATTTTTGCAGTGGCCTGATCTGACCATAGATTGAGCTGACTAAGCACTTCAGAGTGCCACGCCTTTATTTGAGCCTTTTGTTTATCCTGAAGAATGATGTCGAATCTACTTTTATTTTTGTGGCTGCAGTACATTCATTGCGCTGGTAAGTGTGATGTCGCTAGATTTAGTTATAGGAGTTGTATATCACCAAAAATTGGAAATAATCTGTCATCGCTTATTGATATAATATCAGTGATGCATGTGTATAATTATTGCCCTAAACCGTATACTAAAGTCTATTCAGTTTCACCTGACCTATTGATTTTTTGTTATGACTTTTGATAAACATGGAATTTAGAAATTTTGTTTGCACCATTAGAATCATTAGGTCCTTCCCGTCCTTTAGATAAAAAGATCGGGCCAAAATGATAAGGCCTTAGCCTTTTTTGGATGTCCCTGTATAAACTCAATGACATAAAGAATGCGGATGTGACGTAGTTATTAATTTTATTAATTGAAAAAAGCCAGGGGTCAGGTGAAAGTGAACAGACTTTACCTACTATACCCGTACAAAAAATTTGAGGGCATGAAAAGCTCTTAATTTTTTTATTTCAAGGGGATTAAATTTCACCGGCTTTACAAGTTTTTAAGATAAATCATATTCTCACTCTGACCCTCTATAGGACCTTCCCTTTGACCCACTGCTGATAGTAGTCATTATTTATCACAATTATATGATTTTATACTGTTACTTACATTTTGTATGCACACATGCATTACATACATGTGCTACGCATATACAGTGAGTATTTCTATAAGAAATCACCCACAAAATCCCTAAAATTAAATAAAAAATCTCACGGAGTTTTTACTCATATGGTATGGTTATAACTGTGGTTATCAATCGTAATTTATGGTTAAATGTGTGGGTTATCTATGGTTAAATGTGGTTGTCAATGGTTATGTATGAGAAGAGAAGGAGAGAGAGAATAGTCTCGTTGCCCATGCATGCATGCAGGGCCCTCCCCTACAGTCAAATGGCTGTAGAGAAAGGCCTGGGTAGTGAGACTAAAGAAAAAGAAAAGGTATAAGAGACAATGGAAACAGACTATAATAGTCTATCTTTTTTTCCAAAATCACTCTGAAATCATCTCCAATTTTTATTACATTTTCTGATACATATTAGTGTCCTTATAAGTTTGAGCTGATTTCAACTAGAATTTGTAAGTAGCAATTTTTTGGAACAAAACAAAGACTATTATAGCCTGTGTTTTTTCCAAAATTGACTCTAAGGTCATCACCAGTTTTTGCAGTTTTCAACAACACAAAAATACCATTGCAAATGATTTCAAAGGACAAAGCACAGCTAACCACACATAATAACCATGATAACCAGTCAGTAGGAAGTACACTTACTAAATTATCATTAATTCTTTTTATAGTTATAACAGTACAGCCAGTGTCTATTAATACAACACTCAACTCTACTGTTGTCTTTTCTTGTGAAGCTGTGGCTGATGAGCTTGGTTTCAGAGTTAATAATGAAGTAGCTACTGATGAAGCTGTTGTAGCTAAAGGATTTAGTGTAACAACAACTAATATTGGTGGTACTATAAGAGCAGAGCTAGAAGCAATAGCTTATGAATATAATAATAATACTGAAGTGACATGTACAGCTATTACTGATGAGCCTCTTCAAGCAGTATTTAGTAATACATCAATATTAATGATACAAGGTTAGTGTGTATGTGTATATGCATTAACATTTTCTTTTTAGGTCTATTGGACAGTGTGATTGATTTGGATTATACGTTTATTAATGGATCCAGTGTATTATTAATATGGAAAGCTCCCTATACACTGGATAATGTACCTATCACTGGATACTACATGTATATAGTCAATGGATTAGTGAACATTACTACTACTACTAATAATACTAATATTACATTATCTGCTACTAATCCTGATCCTTGTATCATAAATATAGTATCAGTTTCCCCTATTAATGATGTTGGAATAGGTTTATCTAATGATATCAGTTTCTATTATGAAAAAGGTTAGCATTATTATCGCTTCACGTATATGTTCATAGTATATCTCTCAGTTCCTCTTATTACTCCTAATGTGTCAGTGGTGCCATTAATTGATGGACAACAAATATTACTAAGTATCAGTATTAATGTAAGCTCAATACACCATTAGTATATGCATGCCATGCAATTATAATAGTTTACATAACATCATGAGTATACTTTTTGATGACATCAGCTTTTTATTCCCACAATATTAGGTCAGTGCATTATGTAAAGCTGAATATCCTAATAATATAACAGTTAATATACTAAATACCAATAATGCAGTAATAAGCAATGCCAGTATAACACCACAAGTCAATGATCATGAACTGATAACTGGAAGTACTTTGGTAACTAATTTAAATATGTTTATTGTTAATGTATCATTGAGCAATAATGGAGGAACATTTAATAACATGTCATCTTTTGGATTTAGTAAGTATAAACATAAAATCTTTTAATATTAACATATTTTATTAGGTTTTTTTGGACCAGTTACTAGCATTGCATCTTCAACAGAAAACTGTTCTACTATTAGTATAACATGGACTGCTCCTACAATTGATGATGGAGTACCTATACAGTATTACATACTAAGAATATATGATACTATTGCTGGCAGTCTAGTGGATACTGTATCAGTATATGATACCAGTTATCAGTTTGTGGATACTAATTTATTTATTATTCGCTATACATATGTCATAACTGGAGTTAACGAATTAAGAGAAGGAATATCTAATAATGATACATTCTCATATCAAAAAGGTACAAATATATTGTAGGCTTAACTTAGCTTATTATGTTTATTGGACATTTTAAAGTACCTAGAGCTGTTGAGAACACATCACTTGATGTATTATCTTATACACAAGGCCGGGTTATTGTCCAATTCTATATCCCAGTAATTAGTACATATATTATTATTCTTATTATTATTATTTATTTATTAATTTATAGATTATATTGGAATGTATCGGTGAAGCTCCTGAAGATGTTACAATTACTGTAATATGTAATGGAATTGATAGCATTACAACTAATAAAATAAAAAATTATATGAATATAACAGAACTGATATCAGTTCCTCAATATCAACAGTGTAATTTCAGTATTGTATTTACTAATGAAGCTGGTAGTAGTAAACCACTTATACTAGAATTTGGTAAGTATGTATGTATTTTTACTACACATTCATGCATTGCATTATCAGATACTTACCCTACAACTGCATTCCCTACAACCAGCTTACCTATCGCTCTTTATATCATTATTTCTGGTAAGTATAATAGTACATGCATATCATTAATTATGTTGTTGTAGTTACAGCATCACTAAATGGTGTTTTAATAATAATAATGATTATCATTATTATTACATACAAGGGATGTCTTAGAAAACGAAAGCAAAGAGTAAGTATACTAATAATTTTTTTATTATTATTTCATTACTTACAGTATTTTTTATACGACAACTACCAAATGTAGTGAAGCATATCTGTAATTTAGAAAACAGGACAGAAACATGACGTTAAAAATTTTATAATATTTGTTTGATTATAATTATCTTTAGTAAAAAATGAGTATAATAGTTTGTCATAATTATAAACTATGCATAAAAAACTAATCGATGACATCACATGTACAGGCTACTAATTCGTAGTATTATCAGCTGTATGATGATAATGATGATTTATCATGATTATGAGCAACAAAATTATTGGCCTCACCTATGCGAAGTATAGGTACTTGTTAGTCTTGTGGGGCCAGACTCAATTTTTAGAATAGAGTCTGGCTTCATGCTTAACATCAACTCGTGCTTGTCTGGCGGAATTTGGATGACCCAATGAAATCACTGTTACCATGGTTACATTATAACCTGCCCACACACAGTAAGTCTAGAGCCTAGGCCTAGTCTATTATTGGCCTCGCCTACGCGAGGTATAAGTAGTTGTTGTGGGGCCAGCCTGAAATGAGGATCAAATGCGGATCGGGCTGAAATGCGGATCAACGCGGAACGCTCGCGGATCTCTATTGAAACTTGACTGATCTGTCTGAAAGAATGATATCTATGCATCAGGAGGGAATTTTTATTAGCTCTATTTGAGTTTTTGATAAGAACTTCATCATTTTAGCAGTTTCAGAACAGGTAGGCTGTTTATGATCATTAGATCTATGTCAATAATATTATTTTCGTTGATTACATTTACTATAGTGTCAGTTTATTGACAGTTTGAGCTGATATAATAGTTTCAATTAGACTATAAAACTTCATAGTAACGTAGTTGCTAGTAATTTTCATGACAGTTAGATCTATATAAGCTGATTATTGTTTCATTAAGACTATGAAGCATTTTGGTGGGGTGATTACAGTTTCTTTTTTATATACAGTATCTACTTGAGCTGACCATAACTTCAAGATTTATGTGTGAATGTGATTCAGAACAATAACATCTTATAATGGATCCTTAAGAAATAATTATAATAAATTCATAAGTTTTTAATGACACAGTGATATTATAGCTTTAACACAATAGTAAACTGCTGCAGCAGCTGATATATGAACTGAATATTTCAAACTTTGATTGAATAGGAATAACAAAAGAATTTTTATTTTACTACGAGAAATGAAAGTATAACTGTCTCTATTGCAACACATTAATGCTCTGAATTTTTATGTAGACAGCTATAGTCATACACAAGGTAGTGCAGACTGTGAAATGTTTCTGGTTATGAATCACCACTGATAAGGGGAGAAATACAATCTTCATTATAACATTAATGCATACTATTTTATAATGGCATTGTGGGCGTATGGAAGTTTTATAGCTTTATAAAATGTACTCCATTCCAATTAAAAAATTATTTGATGTTATTAAAAGTCATTAATTTTCAAGTTAGTTCATACATACATTTCCCATTTACAGTACAAATTTATTTAAACTGCTATAGATCCCTTATCAAGTGAATTTTATTCACATGATTTATATTTCTTATACATTCATCTCACTTTAATTAGATTTTGCAATTATAAAACCAAAGCATATAGTACACTGAAATTGGGAAATACAATGAGATTAAATCAATAAACAAAAGGAATCAGTAACAATAGCTAATAGTAAAATTTTAAGAGACTACGACTGTGAATGATTGATGGAATGAATAAATAATAATAGTAGTTAGCTGAATAATGATAATAAAGATTAAAAATATAATAATTCTATAAGTCATGCAGAATGAATAATAATAATTAGAAAATAACAGTGATAAAGTAAAAAAACAAAGACTGGAATTCCCAGACAATGGTCCACTTTGCCATCTATGTTGAACTTGGGGGGTACAGCCATGATAGCACTTTAAAATAACTTGACTTGTCTCTTGACTGCATGAAGGCACACTGAGCTAATGTTGAGTGTGTTGACTGCTCAGTAGTTAGATCTAGTAGTAGTCTGTTTTCTTATTATCACAGGCAAAGGTTGCATGTTTACAAAAGTTGAAGAGAATAGCTCAAGAGGATATCAGCTTATCTGTAGATCTCAACTGTCATAAAATACAGGCTAATATTATCGACATAGTGATCATAAGCATCAGCTTACCTGCATGTACTGAAACTGCAAGGATGATAAAGTTCCTATCAAAGACTCAAATAGAGCTGATAAATTTCTCTCCTGATGCATAGCTATCATTCTTGCAGAAAGATCTGTATAGTTTCCGTGTTGTTCCGTACTTCAATACAGATCCGCGAGCGTTCCGCATTTCAGCCTGATCCGCATTTGATCCGCGTGGATCCGTATTTCAGGCAGGCCCGTTGTTGTGTGTGTCTGTCATTGCCCTCGCCCACGCCGTAGGCGTATAGGCGAGGGTACTGCGCTCGTGCTGTCAGTGTGTGTGTGTGTGTGTGTGTGTGTGTGTGTGTGTGTGTGTGTGTGTGTGTGTGTGTGTGTGTGTGTGTGTGTGTTTTTGGGAGATATACAAATATCTGAACCCAGCTAACCATAGCCGTAGCCTAGCGCTGGGGTGCACCTCGATTGGAATGATTGGCCAATGCCCGTGATCCCCTCCCATTGACCCTTGTTATAAGGTTGCCATCAGATGGTCTTTTGCTCCAATTTTGTTTATGTGGTTTGGCTACATTTGTTATTATTTAGTTTTTGTTACCATTATTGTTGCTTATTCATGCGTGTTAGTCATTATAGTAAGAGGTGTGGTTTTTCTCATGTGACCCTCCGAAGGGACCGGCAGTCTGGCCTTGAGAGCCAGATGTGGCAGGTTAAAACGTTTTTTCGGGCGCCCAACTCTCCCTGCTCTGCCAAATCCACTTCAGTCAGGTCAGAGTAATCTTTATAATCCTAAACTAGAGTTGCTTTAGTAGGCTGATATTAAGTTTTTGTAGTACATGTACATGCATGTGTAAAACTGGTGTAGGCTCTGTGGTTTTGTGGACTATATAGCCTTTGTTTGTAGATGGTAACTCACCTACATGTACATCTAGTTCCTCTGGAAGTGTAGTATGGGCCTGGGTAGCTAGTACTGGAGTATGGCGGGGGATTTGTGTCAAAATTATATACATTAATTTTTATTAAGTGAAAAGCAGCGCGGCGCGGCTACGCCACGCCGCGCTGCTTGGGTGGTGTTGATGCTCATCATTGAGTGGTGGTACTTCATTATTGAGTGGTGGTACTTCATCATTGTGTGGTGATACTTCGTCGTTGTGTGGTAGTACTTCGTCGTTAAGTGGTGGTAGTGCTTCGTTATTGTGTGGTAGTGGCCAATCAGCGTGTGAGTGGTGGCCATCATCGTGTCAGTGTGTGACCCTCGGATTTTCTTTACACCATAATCAGGTGATGCTCGCCCCGCCTATGGTAGGCGTGTTTTCTGTAAAGAGACAAGATGGTGCCGGATGAAGTTAACCAAGTTTATCCAGTTTAAAGAGGTTTAATGGTTAGTTTTTATTGTAATTGAACTAGATTCTACAAGTAATAGCCCTTGTGTAATTCCTTAGATGTATGGGGGATTTAAAACACTCATTTTGAGTTTATTCATCCATTACACTACACGGGCCAACAGTGGAGACAGTGTGTTATCTCCTTGTGGGTGTTGTTGGCCAAGAGCTTCTTCAAGGAGTTGTTCTGGGTAAGAAATGTGTGTATTATTATTATCTCTGCTCACAATTCCTCATTATTATAATACTGTATAGCTGGTTTATTTCGAGGATGATAATTTTTGCGAATGGCCTGTATCCGGAGATTCATGGAATTAATTTTTGCGAATTGCCACTTTTCTGCCATCTTGTACCATATTAAATTGATTTTCAAGGAATTTAATTTCACAAATCTTCAAAAATCTGTGAAATTTGTTATCCTCGAAATAAATCTGCTGTACAGAGTAATAATAGTTATTATTATTATTATTGTCATTTTTACATAGGACCATACAAGGGGAAAAGAGACTGAGTGGCCCAGAGAGAGACCTGATAAAGAGAAAGGGATTGTATAACTAATGTCAATGTGTATAATGGTGATTTTTTAAACATTAAAAATGATGTTTTGAGCAAGTAGAAACATTGTAGCAACCATTAGATCAAGAGCAGTTTGTACATTCAGTCTTACGTATAATGTTTCTGCTAGTACTTACAACTAAAAGTTTAAAAAAATGAAATGTCTGAAACACATTGGAACAGTTAGCTAGCAGTGGTGTAAAGTAATAAGCTCTGAAAGAATTGCAGCTGAAAAGAAAAGGGGAAAGGAGGAACTGAGGAAGACATGCACTAACACCCACTCAAGTGTGGAGTGGCTGGGTATCTTTCAGAGTTTCTGCATCAAAACTCACCAATTTTGTCATGATCTACTCTGTATAGCTAACAGGTAATGTTTAAGCAAGAATGAAAATTAATTGCAAGCAAATATAAAAATTTGTCAATTTGTGCTCATTTCTGGCCTTCAAGGCCAGTAAAAGTAGATGTTGAACTTACTTGGCTCAAAGGCCAAGTTTGGTAAAATCCCCCCAAGTTATGTGTAATTGCAATAAACTTTCATTCTTGCTTAAACATTAACTTTTAGCCATACAAGATAGTTTCTGGTAAAATTGGTGAATTTTGATGCAGAAACACTGAGTTCTAGCCCGTAAAATACCCAGCCACTCCAAGATTGAGTGGGCGTTAAGGCCTGGAAATCATGCTTTTAGCTCTGTATCTCGTTCATTTTAGACACTTTCTTAGTGAAATTTTTTATGCAATATAATCTATATTTATGCCAAGTAATCAAGTAATTGGAGTGGCAATAGTAGGATTTTCTTACTAGTTAAAAAATCAAAAACAAAATTTCTAGTTTTCCTGCTTTACGATGGTACAAAACTTTCTGTAGTAAAATTAACCAATTTTAAAAATTGGCTAGTTTTACTACAGAAAGTTTTATAATCGTAAAGCTAGCCTTTTAACAAAAAAAGCACAAATTTTAATTTTAATTTTTAACTAGTGAAAAAAATCATACTATTGCCACTCCATATACTTAAATGCTTGGCATAAATGTAGATTATATTGCATAAAAAAATTTCACTAAGAAAGTGTCTAAAATGAACGAGATACAGAGCTAAAAGCATGATTTCCAGGCCTTAACGCCCACTCAGTCTGGGAGTGGCTGGGTATTTTACGGGCTAGAACTCAGGGTTTCTGCATCAAAATTCACCAATTTTACCAGAAACTATCTTGTATGGCTAACAGTTAATGTTTAAGCAAGAATAAAAGTTTATTACAATTACACATAAAGTGGGGGGATTTTCACCAAACTTGGCCTTCAAGCCCAGTAAGTTGAACTATGCCTTTTACTGGCCTTGAAGGCCAGAAATGAGCACACATTGACCAATTTTTATGTCTGCTTGCAATTAACTCTTATTCTTGCTTAAACATTACCTGTTAGCTATACAGAGTGGATCATGACAAAATTGGTGAATTTTGATTCAGAAACTCTGAGTTCTAGTCTAGAGGTACCCAGCCACGCCCCGCAAGTGGGTGTTAAATCTTTCTTTATTGGCTCTCTATCTTCATAATTCTTCAATTTTTAGCTGAAATTTTTTTAGAATTCATTGCTTTGCTTCTTGGCACATATAGTCCAAAGCCATAGCTCAGCCATACCTCTGATAAATTCTGATGCTATAGCTCTCAGTTCGCACATTATCTGCATGGTTAGCATGGGAGCATAGTAATTAATTTTATTTGCAACTTTTCATAAATTTTGCCTGACACTGATTATATAACGCCACTGCTATCTATTTATACCTTTATTATTAACACCTATGACTAGCTAGCATCAACAAAATTTTCCACACCCATTATGAATAAACAATTAAAGGTTAGACCATACAACACGTGTATGCGGTTGCTGCTTGCTTGTGATCATCTTTGAAGAAGAGAGGACGTGATGCTGAACCAAGCGAGAAGTCTTGTCGAATCACTCCAGTCCCTATTAAACAGCACGACAACTTCTGGTGCTACAGCAAATTCTAGTGCTCCTCCTGTAGCCGTTGCTACAGCTGCCACTGTAGCCACTACTCCCCTCACCGCTCCTGCTCATGCTGGTACATCTCCATCGCTGAGTCCTTATCAAATCCATCAAAATTTGTTTGGATATAAACGCAGAAGCACCTCAACAAGTCGAGGTGGGGAACTACGTGGAGCAAAGAAAGCGAAAAAAGAAGTCCGGTGGACTCACACTTTTGTATGTCTGCCTGAGAGAGACATGGATTCGGTACCAGGAGATTATACTCTCATGACTGCCAATGGACTTGGTAAGGCCAAGCTTCATTTGTCAGAGACCAGTACTGCTATGGAGATTCACGTAGCAATTTTAGCTCAGTTTCCTAAAATAGCTGACTGTGGTGGCTATGAGCTGCTTCGTACACATGATAATACCAAGAAATTAAATGTGATTGTTCCCCCTCCAGAGGGCTATACTGGATTGTTTCTGAAAAAAGTTCTTGGTCAAGCCAATTGCTACATACGCCCGCTTCAAAAGGATATTGAGCTTGAAGAGTGCCCAGCAGTATCTCATGGTGTAGAGGTACAAAATTTTTACTTTTTTATTGTATCCAACTTTTATATTCTATTATGTAGATTCCAGATTCTGTTCCAAGGATTAAATGTGAAGTATGCAAAAAAGCAATACCAATGATTATACTGAGGGAACATATGGATAGTTGTCATGAAGAAAAGTATTAACCAATAGAAGTGATGCATTTGTTATCAAGCTGTTTTTATTTAGTGATGAGGTAACAATTGTCAGTGTTGAAAAAATGGTACCACCAGAGCCAGATGTAGATGTATGTGTAATTTCATAATTTTTATGTATGTTGTTATTAATGTATTTTTTAGCTTGACATAGCAAATACTGTGGATGATTTTTTGCCTTATAATTCACCAATTACACCAGCATATTCTCCAATTTCTAATAAGGTATTAATCAGTTGATCATGGCTGCGGCTGTATGTGCTTACTTGGTTGCTATGAAAAATTAATTTCTTTATAGAGTGATGATAACCTGCCGTCTTTTATGGGCTGTTTAAAGAATTCAGAAGATAAGGTAAGGTTTTTTGTTTAAATAATGATATCAATTATGGTGTAGGAAAATCCTGCTGATGTACATGATGGTGTGGCTGAAGATAACCAGTTAGTGCATGGGTTATGTCAGAATTATTGATATTATAATAATTGCTTTTTTATTTGCATTTAAAGGAAGATTAGTTCCGTGGCTGATGTTATTAAGTTTATTCAGACTAAGAATGGAATTACTGTCAAGGAAAATGATTCATATGAGGATTTTGATGATGATATAATGTTTATTGATGTAAGGAGAAATTTTTTTATTCAAGATGCAATGAGAGAGTGCAGTAAAAAGAAATTTGATCCTAAGAAGGTGATAAAGGTTAGTCTTGATTTGCTAACTATTTGAGAAATATTAATAATTACAGGTGACTTATGTTGGTGAGGAGGCTGTGGATTATGGTGGACTCAGACGAGAGTTTTGGCAATTACTGGTTCAAAAGGGATGTCAGCATTATTGTGTGGGAGGAGATAGTGGAGTTACTTTTATTCAAAACACTGCAGCTCTTCAGGTTTGGAATTGCATATAATCTGTTTGAGGCTAGTCTCTTCTACAGAAATTTGAACTCAAGTTCCTTGGCATGTACACAGCTATGTCTATCATACAAGGGGGTATCGGGTTTCCCGTTCTTCACCCAGGAGTTTATAGTTATATATGGAGTGGTGTTTATGTTGGGGCTGTTATATGTGATGATGGAATAATGCAGAGTTCGTTTCGAGAACTTGTAAAGAAGGTAATTACCCTAATGAATGAAATAAGCAGTTGCATATTTTAAAATAGCTGCGGAAGTGTGAAGATGACACTAGTGTTAGGGAAGTGTTCAGTGAAACTGAACATCTAGATATTTTGTGTGAAACAGGTAATACCTTTATTATAGTAATTGTGATATTGTCTTTTACTATGTGACCTTTGAGTATAATACTTGCACATCTAAGGTATCTGTGTTCCTTGTCTAATCAACATATGCCTTAAAAGTGTAGTTAATTAAACCACTTGGCCTATTATTGTGTTTGAATGTAATGAGTTAGGCACTGGAAAATATATTCCTATTGTAATTGAGTAGGTCTGCATGTAGGAGGGCTATATAATATGGGAGATGCTCTTTCTCTCCTCCCTCTATCATGGATTGTTTGTTTAGTTCTTTCACTCTCTCAATATACATTGTATACTAGTTTATTTTCATGGTGAAATGTCATTGCAAATCCTGGATTTCCAAGCATGTGCAAGAATTTGTTGTCCATAGCTTGCAAACTAAATCATGTGCACTATGAAGACAAAGAATTAATTTTTTCAAAAAAAACAAAATCTGCCAAAATAAACCAGTATACATAGTTAACTTGTTTCTGAGATCATTGTGTATGTAAAAAAAATTTTAAATTTATTTTTATAACTATGCAGGGTACAGGAAACCGATTAATTGTTTGACAATTGGTGATGTTAGTGAAATCGTAGAGATTATTAAATCCCATTGTATAAAAGTCTCTATTCCTGAGATTAACCAATTTGCTGAAGGATTGGCATCTCTTGGGGTTTTGGATCTTATTAAAGAGTACCCTGATATAATGAAGGACTTCTTTGTTGATAATCAAAGAAGACTAACTGCAGGTAAAAATGAAACTGTTCATTGTAGTTACTAGTTGTATTTTAGCAATTTTTCGAGAAATATTTCAAGTTAAATATTGTAACAAGGACAGTCCTAGGAGACAAACTGAAGAAGCGACTTATATAATGTTTGTAGATTTTATTGAGAAGTGTGAAGGTATGTATATGCTTTGTAATAAAATTATGTATGTATAATGTTGTCATTGTTGTGTAGAAAAAGAAATATGTGCTAATGTCAGTGATATAAGCTCTGGTGTTGAAAAATCACAGAGAGAGTATGTAACACTTGAGGATATCTTACTATTTTGCACTGGTACCACTAAAGTTCCTCCAGATGGTTTCTACACCAAGCCTACAATATGTTTTTCTGATGATTTGCTTGCTACTGCTAGTACTTGCGACCTCATACTTAGGATTCCAACTGCATTTTATGACAATAGTGAAAAGTTTGAAGAAATGTTTGTTTGGAGCTTGAAAGGTCATATTGGATTTGGAAGAGTTTGACTCATTTAATTCAATTTCTTTGATTATTACTAAGAATATTAAAAAATTCTGTAATTAAAAAGTCATGTTTAAATTGTTGCCCTTGAAACAAAATTGCGAACATTAATGTAAGTGTCAATGCCGTAGGAATTATCTTGCATAATACTGCTATGATCATTTGGAAAACTTTGTAACAAGTCTTGATAGCTTGCTACTGAAAGAGGACAACTGATCAAAGGAATTGTAATGGCATTGGTTTCATTTTCTTCTACTTCAGTTGGAAGAGGGCCAAACCAATCAATTCCATAATTATGTTCCTATTATTATATGACAGCTTTAGAATAATTCACACTTAACTTACCACAGGTTCATTGAACATTTCCTGAGCTAATGTACAACTAGTTCCCCTCAGTCTGAAATACCCATGTATCCACATCTGCATTGGACTCATGTTATGACATGAAGTCATCCTGTGATCATTCCAAGCATTCACCCATTCCTCCAAATGATGATTAATAACATTCATGTAAACATAATGCAAGCAAAATAAGTCATTCTCATTGAGAGGATTTAATAACCCTATATGTTCAAGGTGATGGAATAGATAGTAATATGTACATGATACACCTTGGAATAAGTCTCTCCATAGGCGTTCAATCCTCTGATTGTGTACACTTTTACCAACAATTACAGGATTTATAGAAGAAGCTCGAAGTGGGTGAGTCAGCATAAACATGGCTGCATCATAATTCTCGACCCCTTGGTCACAACGAATCCTGGCAGGCAATCCAAACTGTGATACAGCTTTTACAAATAAAGTCAGAACAGTCTGTGCATAGTTATTAGCAGAACAATTCATAAATACTACAACACGAGAAAACCCATCTATTGCACCATGAATGACAAAACGCCATCTGCATAAGAGCATAGATTATTATTTAGCAAAAAAATTAATTTACCTTATCAATTTATGGTTTCCATCCAAATGCCATAGTGCTTGGGGTCCACTTACTGAGTATTCACGTCGATGAATAGACCGAAAAAATCTATTGGTACCTATAGGATCAACCTCTCTCATTAACTGGCGAATACGGGACTCTTGAATTCTTAATCCTCTCTGATGAAGCCAACCACGAACAAATCGATACCCAGCATTTGGAAAAGACAAATGTGCCTCCATAACTAAGTCTTTCAGTGCAGTATCAGATATATCAGAATATGTATCCCTAACCCTTATTCCATATTCAGACATTCTTCGACGAAGGGTACTTAATGATATACAGAGCATTGAGCAAATTCTGCTGGTAGTAAAGCCATTTTCAATTAAATATTGTAGTTGGTCTCGTGGAAGATCATATTTAGGTCGTCCTCGATGGCCATCTATAACATCTGGTAGTTGCCAAGTGCTATCACAAGTGAAACCATCATCTTCAGAGATACTATTAACAATACTTAATAATTTACGAATAGTATCGACAACTTCTTCATTTACTATATTAGAAGAAACATTCTGTTCGTGTATGCGCAAAATGTGGCCATACAGACACTCCAAACGAACAGAAGCACTGTTTAATGAGTCAGAATCAGGGATTAAGAGAATTCGATTGATTCTAGAGAGTTCTTCCAATAACACCTCTCTTAATACTCCCTCATCCATTTTGCAAGCTCCTCCCTTAACTTTTGTAAATCTCTTTTAAAGAGTAAGTATTAGTTCAACCACACAATGATGATGGACCACCACACAATGCCGATGATGTACCACTAAACCACCACACAATGATTATGTACCACCACATGAATGAACCACCACACAATGATGAGGTTACTGAACCTGTAAACCACCCTGCAGGCCTGGTCCACACAATGATGTACCATCACACAATGATGATGTACCACCACACAATAATGACGCACCACCACACAATAATGATGTACCACCACACAATAATGATGCACCACCACACAATAATGATGCACCACCACACAATAATGATGCACCACCACACAATGATGATGCACCATCACACAATGATGATGCACCACCACACAATAATGATGCACCACCACACAATGATGATGCACCACCACACAATGATGATACAGCCCACCCCTATTTTTGACACAAATCCCCTGCCATACTGGAGACCAATGTGGACTTGGGTAGCCATTATTAGGGGCCATGTGGTGCTTTTATTGATTACATGTATGATGCAATTAATTGATTGATTTTAATTATTCATTACTGTAAATGTAATAAGTGTGTGTGTGTGTGTGTGTGTGTGTGTGTGTGTGTGTGTGTGTGTGTGTGTGTGTGTGTGTGTGTGTGTGTGTGTGTGTGTGTAAAAAAACCCCACAGGGATGGAGACAGACAGGGTCCCCACCCCTGTGGGGACCCTGTCTGTCATGTACATGTACATGTATGTGTGTGTTTTAGTCTAAATTTTTTTCTTTTATTATTTATATTGTGTAGGTGGGTGATCTTACGTGTGTGTGTGTGTGTGTTCGCAAGATGGCATCTTTTTCTCTGTTTTCAAATCCTTGCTGCTCTTTGCTCAAGTCCTGAGGAGTCCCACTGTCAACTCAAATGATTCCCAAAAGTTGTTTTTCTTCACTTTACTTCTTTGTCTGTCTTCTCCTAGCCAGCATGAGCCAGTAATGTCACTAAACGTAGTCAGGAGTTTCCTGCAACTCTCTCATGACGAAGGTAATAATGCAATAGAACACATTAAACGATAAATTGAAAGTTTTTATTGATTTTAAATGTAGGAAATTTGTCTTAAATTCTTCATTCTTGAGATATGGTAGCTCAAACATCGCTTACCGCGACAGTTTACACGAGGTCCTGTTGTCCAGAAAGAGCAGTTAGAGTCTTTTAAACTTAAGATGCTACAAACTAGGTTGTATATAATAAATAGAGCCTAACTATTGTGTCATAAACTGCGTAGAAGTGTAGAAAAACGAAGCTTTTTTATCAGTGATTTCCCCAACTGGCATTACTAAGATTCACTATGTAGGTGCATAGATAGATCTATTAGAGTAAATGAAAATGCTGAAGTTGCTCTGGAAGGATTTTGAAGGAAATTTGTGTTGCTCCAGGACAACGCTTGCTTATGATCTATAGCCTATTGCACATATAATTTTTAGAGCTACCTACAGCAAGTTTTTTATCTCTGTAAAGCTATGTTGCAATCAGTTATAGGTACAACAAAATCAACTATTTTTGGTACACTTTAGCTCTTGTAACAAACTCATACTTCATAGATTCTAACTCTAAC